TCACTTGGTCCTGGTGCGGTTGCTTGCCCTCTTGTGTAGTAGTAGTTGTTCCATTACGTACACACCTTGTCGGTCCGGCAGCGTGCGTGCGACTCTCCCGCGTGCGTCGTCAGTTGTCTTGCACCTAGCAGACGCCGCAGCAGTCGAACCTGCTCGGCGAGGCAGCGTGCGTGCGATCTCCATCGCTCCTCACGTCGTCGCGTCGGCAGCGTGCGTGCGACCTCCCGCGTTGTGTCGCCGGCTGTTACCTACCAGCAACGCCGGCGAAGAGAGCGAGGCATTTGTTATTTGCTTGCACACTGATGACTTCACAAGTACTTACCCAAACCAACACTGCAATCCACAAACCTCCCGTCATCATCTTCATCACTGCCAAGCTGGAATAAAAACCCACTAGCATTTGTATACACACAGACATGATACACAAGTTGACTTCACTATGGTTTCTCTGACAACCAATACCCAGTATGAATGTGTAAGTGAATAAACCCTAATCTACTGAACATGTATAATGTTAACCTACCTCCATTCTGGCCTGATGAAACACGGACTTTGTGGGGTTCATTGTCTGCCTACGTAAAATTAACATAATATATATAAAATTGTGCCAATTAATAGATAATTTCTCTGAAATGTGTATTTTAATGTGACGTTTATAATAAGATATTCTTAATTTATTATTATTTATAAACACTGAGCTAGGGAAAACGATCGCATTTCAATTTACACATCATCATCACAGTTCAAATTTGAGTCATTACGGTTATTGCAGGACGTTATTGGATGAGTGTGCAACAGCTCACACGAGACAATACGTTCTAATTTTCTCAAATTTCATCAAACGTTACGGTTGGTCCTTGTCGCTGGTGGGGTGTCTGTCTTACATGTTTACCCTGAGAGAGGATGTGGCTCATGTGCTTAGCCTACATGTCTTACATGCATACTGTTATGGTAAACGTGTTTTATGTTTGCCATGAGAGTGCATGCGTCCTACGTGCTTCCTCCAAGATGTGCATGGTTCTTACATGTCAGGTTTACGAGGCGACCTGTCGCATACATCCATTATGGCCTTCGGTTCTACGCCAAACATCACTCGGATTGTCGTCAGAAGTGCATTCTCTAATGACGAACCAGACGGCAGTTTGTCCACAATCTTCATAAACAACAGAAGGCCTGCAATTACAAACATGAATAAAAACACACACCACAAAATATGATAATGAATCGTTAACATTTTAAACTTTTGTAAAACGCTGAGAAACTGCAAATTACCATAGACAGATATTTGAGTGTTTTTTCTGCCATAATAGTAAAAACTCTCTGAACCCGTGAAGTATCATTACCCTGGCTGATTGAGCAAATTTGCCGGGCGTGACGGGACGCCATCATGGTGTTGCACATCGCCACGATGCTAAGGTGAAGTATGTCATCCCACTGCTTGTCTGGCGCTGCTTCAAAGTGCTCTCTCGCCAAATCTTTAAGGAAAAAATTAAGTGAATCCTTGACACCTAAAATGTTTCAATTAAAATAGCCAAATCCGCACATAACTAACAGTCATTTTATATGGTAAACGTGGCTTTTATGGACAGGTGGACGTTCTATAGAGGCGGCTTCACGGTATAACTCTTACTTATAGAAATTGCCAAAAGTGACATTTAAGGACAGGTGGTGATGCTATACAGGTGGCTGCTAACACTGGTTTGACTCTAACCAGGTGCAACTGATCCAACTATGCAGTGATTCCATCTAAGTGTTTGACATTAAAACGTTCAGCTAACTCTTCATTATTGAACGATTTAACACGAAGCATGCATTCAATATTACAACAATGAGCGTGCTCTGTGCTAGTGTACCACAAAACAGCAGCGCTGTGTGAGTGTACGCAACCGCATCAAAATTTTATTATGCGAGTCAAAAATGATGTTTACTGAGCAAGTGGCCTACCGACTATAGCTTGAACGAGGCTCGAGTTTCCGAGAAAGTTCTTTGCAAAAGCCGCTGAAGTCGCTAGATTGGCAAATGTAGCTGCCACCTGAGATTTCACATCAAGGTCGGGGTAGTAAAGAAGCTTCACCAGGCTGTCCATGAGATCTCGGTTTTTGAAGTACGTCTGGTCATTCCCTGGGTGAAATCAAGAATATAGCAAAGAAGACAATGGAAAAATGTGATAAATACTTTTCATCAATCAAATTTCAAAACCGTTTTTGCATCACTCTAAAGAAACTTTTCTGGTGCAGGTATTCATCCCATACAAGTGTGCATCTCATACATGTTTTAACAGTAGACAACTAATTTTTTTAAACATCTATTGATGAATATGGATAACGATAAACGTGAATTTTGTAGCAATCCCTTGCCACCTGTTTTAGCAACAAGCTCCGACACATTTCTGATGATCGCTGTGCAGTTCCTCACCAGCTTTACATCAATACTTGGCAACACTCCTGTAACAACAAGTGTGATGCGACTTTTATGACTATTCGTGCAATGTCTCTGTAATATCTATTATGTTTTCCTATATCTTACCATAAATGCATCCATTTTCACTACAATCTTAAGTAATCTACTTGTCACACGAGAAACAATGATGTCTCAAAATAAGTTAAAAAATGGTCAAACCAAACATGGTGACATTTTACCACAATTAAAATGGCCCGGTGATGTTCACTTGCCTCGCAGCCTGCAGGTTCTGTGACCCTCTTCTGCTCCCAGCTTTACGGTGAAATGTGATGCGTCGCTGACATCTACCACCGTCACATCCATCCACTCTCCAGCCTCCTCCTCCTCCTCTTCCCCAGAAGTGTCTCCAGCAGCAGCCACCCCCTCTGCTCCACAACCACGCCTCGCAGACGAGCACCTCCATGCCGCACCAGTAGAGATCAGCACCTGCACGAGGTCAACATCCTCATCGCCACTAGTGTCGAATAGTTCGATCACCTCGAATTTCACTTGGTGAGCATTTGCTCGCCCGTTATCTGCAAGCGTTGCGATGCGACCAACGAGCTTCTTGTTCAGTAGAAGACTCTTACACACGACGGTCGCCTCCTCAGTGAACAGTATATTTCCCGGGCGACCAACGTCGCACAGTGCGACCACCATGTCCCAGAACAGGCCGACGCAGGGTGGTGCGCCGGGCGCCATGTCAGTAGTCAGCACGTGTAGAAGCAGCGTTGCTTGCTGGATAAGTGCCACCCTGCCATCCTGCTCTGTGGTGGATCGCAGCACGGAGCAGAGTGAGGCGAGCATGTTTTTCAGGTATTCGTCTTCGCTCACAGTCGTCCGTATCCGCTGACTCTTCTCGCAGATTTTCGCCAGGCAGCCAATCATGCCCAGCTTTTTGTTCCAGTGAATGCTCGGCACTTTCAGAGCCTCAGTCAAACTGAAACAAACATATGTTGATGGCAACAACTTGTAAACGAATAAAACTTTTTACTCGCTTGCCATCTTTGGATGCGTACAATTCAAGATGCCAGCATTTATTATGGCCACCAACAAGAAGACATGATATTTTAACGTGCGATTATTTAGCTTTAGTAAAAGACAGCATCTCTGTACAAACTTTTTCACTTGTTTTTTTTCCTTGTAGTAACGAGTACAACAAAATCCCAGTCGCCACAGACACGTTCATAGAATCGATGTTAGCAACAAGGCTTCGTCTAGGTGTGATGGCTATGTGGTAGTCACAGAGTTTGCTCATGGCTGTTGAGACTCCAGTGCCCTCATTGCCAATAATTAGAACAGATGGTCTGTTAAGCACAAAACTCTCCAAGGAACACAACGTCGGATTCTCAGGGCAACTCCTTGAATCCTCGAGACAGTCATTATCACTGCTACCACACCGAGTTGACAGTAACTGCCAGTTCAGTTCCTTGCAGGCAGTCAGAAAATTAATACCGCTGGCCACCTCATAAACTGGCATGACTTCCAGAGCACCTGCACTGGACTTGCTGACCACTGGAGACATTGGACAGCTGCTCCCTCTGGTGGTGATTACCGTGTCCACGCCCAGGAAGTAAGACGACCGTAGAATGGAGCCAAAGTTCATCGGATCTTGAACTTGGTTAAGAAGCAGCCACAGGACTGGCGAACCATCGGGATTGTAGTGAGGTGGCCTCACATGCAGAGGGTGATAGGCTAGCATCCCAACATCCATGCACACTCCCTGGTGCAGTCGAAAGCAAGATAGCTCGTCTAAGTCTGTTCTTCCAACTTCCGAAACTTGTACACACATATTTTCAGCAGTTTGGGCAATATTCCTTACTTTTTCATTTGTGGTGAGAATGTTCTTTTTAACATACAGCTGAAAGATCTTTCTTCTCTTCTGCTGTAATGCTAGCAATATCGGACTGATTCCGAAGAGTATTTCTCCAGTTATTTGAATTTTGGAAGGTTTTGCCTTCTTCACTTTCTCCTTCCCTAAGCCAGGCAGGCCATAATTGTACGCATATTCACGTTTACGTTTTCTCACAGTCCTGCTATTTTCCATTGCCAAAAGATCACCACTAATGTATTGTTCGTTTGTATCCCCATCTTCACTACGATTTTGTTCAAACGGCTTCTTTCTATTTGAACTTAGTAGCCGAGCGTTTGCTATATTAGGAATCATTGGGGTTTTTTGACGAAGAGAACTAAAATGCCCTCGCAACCGGCATAGCCATAGATTACAGAAAATGTTGGAAGCCTGCTTTTGCATTTTGTATTTGTTCAGTCCGATTTAGGTCTCAACAAGCAAAATTTGGTTATTTAATTAGGATTATAAAATAAAGCAAGGATGTTTCCACTGTTCATTAGCGGTCATTTAAACTCGTACATGGTCCAATCAATCAGTCACGAGTTAACCTACAGAAATGGGTTTGATGAAAACAGACGAATGGTTCTTTGTTACATATAACTAATGAACATTCGTTAAAACTAACCTATGAATTTTCATGCTGCTTGACGCCATGCTTGCCAGGCCAACACACAACTTACTAGACGGGGTTTCTGACTCGTCGAGTTATGATAAACTGTCAATGAGAAGAGCTGGATACAGTCTATCACTACAGTTGCAAACAGAGTCCTCTAGAGACCAAATACTGAAATAAATACATTCAGAACAATCGCCTAGGATTTAATTATTATATTTTATATATGCACAAGATGGCAGCACTTCCCTACTCCGGAATTTTGTTCGGATTATATAGGAATGCGGTTTCGTATAATTTGAACTGACGTCGCGGTGTCTTTATAGGCTCAATCAGAGGCGCCGGAAGTGGGGGAGGGGGGGCAGGGGAGGCGGCCGCCCCTCCAATCCAAAAAGTGGGGGGCAAAACCAAAAACCCCCGCCCAAAAAAAGAAGAGTGGGAAAGAAAAAAGAAAATGTATGAGCTAAGACGTGTTAATTCTAACGTTCAAAAACTAATTTATACATAAATTTTAAGTTTTCGCTGCGCGCTTTGCGTGATTGACGCTCACGTCGCACACACGCGCTCACACACACACGTCACACACACGCGCTCACGCACACACGTCACACACACGCGCTCACACACACACCGCTCACGCACACACAGTCACACACACTAGCGCTCACGCACACAACCGTCGCACACAACGCCGCTCACGCCACACACGGCTCGCACACACGCGCTCACGCAACACACGTCGCCACACACGCGCTCACACACACACATCCCACACACGCGGCTCACGCACACCACGTCGCACACACGAGCTCACGCACACACGTCACACAAACATCCGCCTCACCGCCACACGCGCTCACGCACACACGCCGCACACACGCCTCACGCACTCACGTCACACACACCGCGCTCACGCACACACGCGCTCACGTAAACACACGCGCTCACGTACACACGCGCCTCAACGCACACACGTCACACACACGCGCTCAGCGCACACACGCACACACGTCAACACACGCGCGCTCACCCACACACGTCGCACACACGCGCCTCACGCACACACATCCGCACACACATCGACAACGCGCTCACGTCACACACGTCGCACACACGCGTTCAACGCACACACGCGCACACGCGCCTCACGGCACAACGTCACACGACACGCGCTCACGCCGACACACGCGCTCACGCTACACACCGCTCACGTACACACGCGCTCACGCACACACGTCGACACACCGCGCTCACGCACACACCACACACGTCACACACGCGCTCACGCAACACGTCGCACACACGCGCTCACGCCACCACACAATCGCCACACACATCGCACACACGCGCTCACGCACACACGTCGCACACATCGCGTTCACGCACACACGCCGCACACCGCGGCTTGCACGCACACACGTCACGACACATGCCGCCTCACCACACACGGCGCTCACGTCACACACGCCGCACAACGCGCCACGCACACACGTCACACACACGCGCTCACGCACACACGCGCTCACGCACAACACGCGCTCACGCACACACGTCGCGACATACGCGCGCACGCATACGCCCATACATATAAACATTAGGGCGGGGGGCAATCATAACGCGGCCATAAATAAATCCAAAAAATAAAACATAATATATCATAAATTTAAATTAAAAAAAGTATGGCCAAGGCATAAAGTTAATATACATATACGGGCAACATAAATCATAACAGGATAATTAAATATCACATATTATAATAACACTCAACAACATCGGGCGGGGCAAATACACGCACACACGCCGCAACACGCGCTCAGCACACACGTCACACACATTGCGCTCACGCCACACACGCGCCTCACGCACACACGCGGCTCACGCACGCCACACGTTCGCACATACGCGCCTCACGGCACACACGCACACACGCCGCCACACGCGCTCACGCACATCACGCTCACCACACATGCGCTCACGCCACACACGCACAGCACCGCCGCACACGCGCTCACGCACACACGTCACACACATGCCCGCTCACGCACACCAAAAGCCGCCTCACGCACACACGCGCTCACGCGACACACGTCGCACATACGCGCTCACGCCACAGGTCACACACATGCGCTCACGCACACAACGCGCTCCACGCAACCACGTCGCCACACACGACGCTCACGCACACACGTCGCCACACGCGCCTCACGGCAACACGATTGTAAAAAAATCGTGACCCCCCCTCATATAGGTCTTATAGCCCCCCCCCCAATCCACCAAAACTGCTTCCGGCGCGCCTGGGCCCATTATAGCTATACTATAGTATAGGCTATATCCCAAGTTATACATGCACCCATCCGCAGTTATTTACAATTCATCCTCTCCCAAACTTGGCTGCTCTCAGACTTTTCTTATGCTCTTCCTCTCTTTATATTCTTCTCCGCTACCCACCTGCACAACTCTTCTCACGCTGCCAACCCTCCCCTCCACTCCTTATATTAATTATTTCCAGGCGTTGACTGTACGTTTATATCTTTGGCGTTATGGTTCAACGTTGCGTTGTTAACTCGTATCCTAAGTTTCTTCCTAGCGTAGATGTTTGTCCCACCCTGTTATATGTCCAGTCATAGCAATCGAGGGCTTATTATCAAGGCGCATGACGATTCACATTGGCAGCAAACGCCTCAAAACGCCTTATATATATATTACTACTATAGTACGGCCCTCCAGCCAACAGAACAGTGTCATGCAAAAGCATGTAACACTCTACCAATATTACGGCGTCTCGTCGTCACCTCGGACTGTGCTAGTACCTAAACCTAGACGCGCTAAAAAAACCTACATCCGTTACGCAACCCACTCCCATTACACGTCGGTCACACCACACACACACACACACACACACACAACACACACACACACAACACACACACACACCACACAGCACAACACACACACACACACAACACACCACACGACCACACGCACGCACGCACGCAGCACGCACGCACGCACGCACGCACGCACAGCACGCACGCCACGCACGCCACGCACGCACGCACCGCACGCACACCACACTCACGCACGCACGAGAGAGGAGAGATAGATAGATAGACAGAGAGTAGAGAGGGTGAGAGTGAGAGAGAGAGACAACAGACAGACTACAGTCATACACACACGCGCGCGCACACCCAAAAAATACACGAAAAAATAAATAGAAAATATTATTTTCGAATAAAACTATTTAAAAAAGTAAGGAAGAGTGTTTAATTGACTACACAAATATTTGTACCGTTATTTTGATTGGCACATACTGCAATAGTTTTCCTAGACGCATAGAAAAAATAATTTAAAAATACCTTCACAAGTATAGGTTCGTTTAATCTCTTTAGTCATTTACAGTAATCACAAAAGCTCATTTCCTTCGCCTGTGTGTTAGTTGATTTTTATGTTTCATGAACTTAGTACAGACATCGAACTATGTATGTGTGATCTTGGAGTAATCATTCAGTCCGAATGATTACTCCACGGTGTGAGTAAAGGAGTAAGGTAAGGGGTAAGGGTACTCG